TGTTTTTAAAAAGTAACTAAGTAACTAAGTAATTAATTACTTTTGAAAATAAGTAATCAGTAAAGTAACGGGATTACTTTTTGGGGGAAGTAATCAGTAATTAATTACTGATTACTTTTTTCAAGTAACTTGACCAACACTGATGGTGACACACTCTTGTCTATACAGTAAATATGTACCTATAGCCAGCAGTCTGTTAGCTTAGCTTAGCACAAAATTAGAGATAGTAGGGGGAAAAGGGCATTTCACAAAAGGTCCAACTATTCATTTAATTACCTTTTGTTATAGGTTCTCAGTGTGTATCACTTAGGGTACCAAAGTGCTTTGGAAGAACTAACTGCATCAGTTTATATGCCTATACATGAGTAAAAGTGGTTAGAGACTAGATTAATGTCAGAGTTAGCCTGCAAAAATAAAGTTTTCTTTTTTTTTTCCTTGTTGAAGAGCATAAATCCATATTCTCAGTTACATCACCAGACCAAACTGTGAGGTCCAGTGAGACTAAATATTCTAGCTGCAACACAGACATAAAGGGATTAAAGTACTTCTATCGCAGCCCTGTGATGTGCGGTTGTAATGTTATGATGCTGTACTTTTTTTTAGGAACAAAACATGTAGATTTGTAATCCTGTGGAGACTTAACTTACCACAAATCAGGGAAACGACGATATGCAACAGTAGAGATTACTGTTTTTTGGTTTCATGTGCACTGAAGAAAGATGCTTGCATTGTTTTTGTTAAACTAAAATAGATTACATAGTTCGTAATCCTGTAGGATATACAGTGTCGGATTATTATTGTGAGGAGCCAGAGAAAGAATATTTTTAAAGTGCCATTATAACATTTGGCAGGGGGGAGGGGATTCCCTGCTGATATGTGTATGCTGTACTGCTCACATTCTTCCACTGTGACTAGATGGTTTTGAGCTATTTTTTTGACTGACGTATGTATTAAAAGTGCATATTATTGCCAAGTGTGTTCTCAGTTGGAAACATATCAAAACCACTTGAAAAGCTGTAGGAATAGAAGAAAGAGTCTACTGAATTGCTGTGTGAAGACAGAACGCTCCAGATGAGGGTGTTCAGTGACCTTTTTAAAGTAAACACTCTGAGAGATGGAAGCTCTGAGTCACGACACGGGGAAACAAGAGAAGAAGTCCTTGAAGATTTGAAAAAGAGTTTGTAGTGACGAAGAGAGTTTGGTTTTATTTATTTTTTTAAGGGAAATAAAAATCATCTCAAGGTCACAGTCACATTGCAATTACTGTGACGCCCACATCAAAGAGAAAAGCTCTTATTATTACCGTGAGTCAATGATGTGGCGTTTGTGCTGTGAGAAGCCAGAGCTCACGTTGCAATGACACCACAGTGAGGGTGGAGATGTTTGAAAGAAATCAGTGATTTGTTTAGATCAGTCCTCGTGTTACGGGCTCTAGCGAAGACTTTCCTAGGGTAACACCTAGTGGACAAATGGGTCAGCGCAACCCCCGATAGAGCGTGTGCATCACTGAATACATAATGCGACCCTTGGCTGCTCCTTGTCAGAGAGAATTAAAACTTGGATGGCTGCAGTCTTACCGTCGAGCCTGTTTACACAGTGGAAAACTGCTAACCCTTTGGCACAGACGTCGTTTTCACAGCACAAAACTACAAACGATGGAATAAATGATGCATTAATTCCATTTAGATGTTTCTCTATCAGAGTCCTGGTGCTGTGATTGCTCCCTCCGTCATGTCACTGAGTCACTGAGTGTTCTTACATTCTTTATAACACCAGCTGAAATATACACTATGAAAAAAGTTAGCTTAGGCAGTGGAGGAAAATTGATTAATTAAACACTACTGTGCAAAAGTGAAGAGTCACCCCTCCTTTCTTTATGTTTTGCTTCCAAGGAGCCAGACTTTCTTTTCATTTAAAAGTGATATTTAACAATGGATCTGATTTCGGAAGTTTTTCTCTGCTTCAGCTGATCCATCTGCTGTTCACTGAAGTCTCATCAGAAATGGTCTTAGTGGGTGGGGGGAGGCTGTCAAAAAGCCATTCTTAAGGAAGGGAAACAAGGAGAAAATGCTGACATATGGACTAAAAATCAGCTGCAACAGGTTTCTTGGACTGATCGATACTGAATAAAGTTGGTTTTACCAAATCTTGACTTTCACGTTCAATGGAATTGTACAAACTGTTTTTGCCTTATATACTGTATTTTCACGTATACTTACTTAAACAAATAAATGAGGGGTTGAGCTCAAGAGTTTTGCATGGTACTGTTTGTGCAGGCACAGAGGAAACTCGTCTTTATTTGTAGTAAACAAGATTTTATTTGGGAGCAAAATTACAATAGAACATCACAATAAAAAAAAAATCCATTACAAATACAGAGTAGACCTAAAACATGGGTTAGCAGATGATGCCTGACTTTAGGCAGCTGTTATTTAAGACCATGTGTTTATACTGATAGTTGTTATTACAGTGTCTAAGAGAAAAAAGTCTGCTAATTTCACACCCAAAGTGTGCAGTACCACTGATACTACACTAATTCTGATATTGCACTAATGCATCATTTATGCAATCAACAGTTTTTGTTTAGAATATCCAAGTTTTACTCTGTATACTGCAGAGGTGGGTAAATATGGTTGAAGATTAGAAAAAATACTCTTTCTAAAAATAAGACTTTTGAAAATAAATTGACAGAATATTGTGGGTAAATAAAAGCATAACTATCCAACATGAGTTTTACACGCTCATTAAGACACATTAGTATGAGCAGCAGCTTCTTTTTTATGGTCTAAAACACTGAGCGTTAGAGGCTTAATCGACACTGCTGACAGCTGGTTGCTACAATAACGAAAGAGTTCACCCAAACTCTTCTTTCCCATTCGCCCACATGTCATGTTGTTTTCTGTGCTCATGTTTGTACAAAGTCACCTAATTTCTATGTTTACAGCATGTGTTAGCAACTACTTCTAGATAAGTGGTAAAAGTGTAAAAAGTATGTTTTATACTTCACAAACTGTAATGCTGTGGGGATATATTGATTATTTTGGGGGGGAAGAATGAAATTAAAGTCCACTATTTTGCCATCAGTGCTGGTAATTCCATGAAATTCCTGAAACTGCACCAAATTTGACTATAACTGAGATTTAATGGCTTCCTCAAATGTTCCCTGAAAGCAGTTTAAGCATCTGGTTCCTGCAGTTATGGACATGTGATAATTGATTAGCTAGTTAGTGATAGCTTAGCAAGTCGTAACTCAAAACAATGGAAGATTAGTGAATACAGCCATAATACTAAATTACTCTACACAGCGCTGTACTCATATTTATATTCACAGCGAATCACATGCTAGTAATGTAAGATCACCCGGCTCTGTAGCTTTGGAGAGCCTTCTGGGCCTCGTTGTTTTGTTTTGCAGACAACAAATTAATAATAATGGACTTATATTCCAGGTTAGAAAAGTGAAGCCAGTGTAGAAGTGCCTTAGACATGTATTTCTTTGAATGTTCAAACCGAAGATAACGTAGTTTTTGTAAATTTTAGTCATTTAAAATGTCTAAAAGAGAATTACCCGTGGTATTCTCACTGAATATCAACTTGTGACTGATAAGTCGTTAGCCAATGAGCATGCAATTTCACAATCTGACCCCAACCAATGTTCTTACAGTACATTTCTAAACACCAAGATCGTGGTGGTGAAAACACTCATTTCAACACTTTATAAAGGGGTTTTATTAACCACTCTTACCACTCGCCACCTAATACACTAGGCATATTCCTAATAACAACAGTGACGGTTTAGTTGTATTTAGACACAGAAGCCTAATTAATTGTGATTAGTTCTAATTATTTTTAACTAGTATTTCAGAGCAAAATGGCTGCTGTGAAATGGGTTATTTGGAAACTAATGGAAGTCCTGTCTGTAAATAGACATCTGTTTGTTGTTGTTTTTTTATCTTTGCACTGTAAACCAGCTTCTAAATGGTTAGAGCATAGCATTTCTTTCTAAGTACCAGCAGGGGGCGACACCACTGGTTGCAAAAAGTCACAGAAGTTTATGGGAAAATGTTCCTCTGCTTCTTTTTCTCTGTGACCTCAGTACAGAGAGTTGATTGGCCCAGTCACTACTTTTAGCCTTATTAAATACACCATCAAGTTTATTTTGTAAATTATTACCCACATTAGTGTCCAGAAGGACAATAAAGCAAGGAATGCTTTACCATTTGATTGACAAGTCATTAGCCAGGGAGCGTGTGGTGTCACCCAGTTACACAACGAAAACCGTCCCACACTCATGTCGTGTGGTTTAAAAAAACATGGCAATTTTTTTTTTAAAACATTGGGTGATTTCATGGTTGCTATGTCTATCTTTTGTATACAGTCTAAGATGTTATCCAGAAAGTGCCTTTTTGTGTTTTGATCAATCAAAATGAACTGCATTTACTACAAAAGTCAATATTCCTCCCACTTGTTTAAGAGTTGTACTTTTTTTTTTATTAGCAAACTGCCTTCCCCACAAATATGAGGTCACTGTTTGTTTCTAATTAAAAGTGATTAGCACTAAGATTAAAGGAGAACACTCTCATTGTTTCTCATGTAAGTCTTTTAAAGGTTGTAGGGCTGGCTGCTTACCAAGCTTTTTCCTCGACTTAGCAAGTGCAGCACTATTAATGCTGATTAATAGCAGGCGATGTTCATGTCTTTTTATTCTATGAAGCTAACAATGAATGATGCTTTATAATAAAAGCACCAATAATGCTGCAGGGCTTCATTATAAATACTTCCACAGTTTGACAGGAACACAGCGTACTAGTTATGTAAAAATACACTTGTTATTAAAGAAAAAAAAAGCTGTGATGTTCTGTGCCATCCATAGCCCACTCGAAGAGTATGACTGTGTGAACTGGTTCTATTAGACGCTGCCCACAGAGAGCATCACAGTAAATAAAATTCCCCTCCTCATACACCTCCTCATCCTCTCTCTCCTTCAGTGAATGGCAGCTTTGTTTAAGCTGTCAGGATCAATTATATCTTGCTCCCATAAACAAACATCATGGTGGAGAAGTGGAAACGAGCAGCCCCTCCAGCCGCCCCCCAGAGGATGTGCCCTTCCAGTCTTTCCCCAAATCCTAAAAGCTGGGTGTTTTCAATACGTGACCAACACAGTTACTTTGACTTGGCTTTCTGTTTGGGCACATTCGCAGCTGAAATTGCAGGTTTTGGTGCAGAGGCTGGAGGGGGCCTCGCCAAATCGTACACACTGGAGAACCTACAACAAAACGGGGGCATCACAATGAAGAAAATACCAGCACCGAAGAAAAAGCTACAATTTTGCTAGCATGACATGACCAAGAACAGAAAACAATATCACATAAATGGGTAGCTCACTTACAGGCTTTTGACTCTCTTTAGAAAAGCTCTGACGGCTCTAGCAATCCTTCTTATCCGCACCTGTCACCAAAATATCACAAAGGTCAGTGCAAACCAGCAATTTCTGCATCTTACATAGAATTACATGCGATTTTTACTAAGATATGTTTCTGTTTTGTTTGGTTTTAACTATTGATCAACTTTGCTGAATCATTTTCATTGAAATTTTTTTTTTAACATAAAATAAACTCACCTGCTGCTTTTTGTACAGCAAAGGAAGGGAGAAAACAGCGATCACAGCTGGACAGACAAATTATTCATGTAAATGACTGGACTGCTACTTTTAGAGCACTCTAGCTGAGCACTCAAAACACTTTCTACTACCAGCCACATTCATCCATTCACACACACATTCAATCTTTGTTTTTGGGAGCTTTGTCTAACATTCACACACACACACTTCAGTGGATGCATCAGAGGCAGTTCAGGGCTCAGTATCATGCTCAAGCATGCTTTAATATGCAGTGTTGAGGAGCCAAGGATCAATCTACCAACCTTCCAATCAGTAGATGACCCACTCTACCTCCTGGGCTTTATGTCACTTTAGCTTTGCACAAAAATAATCTAATTGGTTCTAATGAAAACATTCTCCTACTTAAATAATTGGTGCAAACCAGTCATCTGAGGCGACTGATGGAGGCATGACTTCAAAAGGAACTTGAGGTTTGCAGTAAAAGTTATTCCTTAAATCTTAACCGTCATGTGCAGAGTGCTTTTTTTCTGCCTAAACCCAGTCACACTTTAACTACTGAGATGATAGATCACTCGTGAGTCTTATAAACAGGAAGATACATTTGAAGGTGCTGGGAGCTTAATATATGTAGGTGGAGGAAAGAGACATGGAGGAAATTAGATACATTTGTTAGCACAAAGCATAAGTATACACTGGGTGCAACTTACCACTTATTACCAGGGTCAGTCCGTTAGTTTGGATGCCAACATAGGTCAGCAGATACAGAAGCACAACAAACTGAGAGAAAGAGCACAGAAAAAGATTACTGAACAGTTTAATAGTTTAGTTTATTAACTGTAATTTGATTTGTGAATGATGCTGCTTTAATACATGTCTCACTGAGATTTAAAGCTGCTGAATGTAGTCTTGATCCCATGAGAAAATGAACACTGCATGGTGGCTCTGTTTCATTTTTAGCTGCTTTTAAGCAATATAGCCTGGATTAAAACAGTACAGCTGCTCAGAGCCCCACACGAGCGTGTGTGGTGTGTAGCTGCCACCAGGTGGCACCAAAGTCAAAGAGTCTTTTAATCTTGGCTTTGTGACATCTATACTATTGCTTTACCATCACACTCATACCTTAATAGAGTCAAATATGTTTTCAATGAAAACGAGCCGTTTGATTTCTGTGACAGCAAATGCGATCAGCAGCACCGTCTCCTCCACCAGCATCACCGTCTCCTTATTTGTCAGAGAGCTGTCGTAATCCAGACATGACCTAAGCACAGGATAACACATTTGTGAGAAAGTTCAACATGCTTCCAGAAAGCAGAGGAGCAGCATTTTTAGCTGGAAAAGAAAAACCTGTGTGTGAACACTGATGGACTCACTGAAAGGGGTGAACCCCGGGGTTCCAGCGCAGGAGCTCCAGGAGCTTATAATAAAAACGGAGGGGGAAGGTGATGCACATGACACCCAGAAAGATGTTGGAGACCACAGTGACGGCACTAAGCTGGAACAAGCTGGCCAGACCGATTACCAGCCCTGTAAACACCACACCAGTCCTCCACATGTGGCGCCAGTACACCAGATCCACAACTGCAAAGCAATTAAGCACAAGACATCATCTTAAATGAGTGATGCACAGAGAGCGGAGTATATCTGAGTGAATATGCAACTGAAATGGGAAGTTGTTAAGCTTAAATTAGTTACAGGCTAATGTTTTTTATACTTCATGACCTGACTGTGAAGCAGGGTTACCAAGAGTGGTAACATGACAGAAGGGTGTAGAGAAGTCAATAAAACTGCAGTGGAGATAAAACTAGCAATGAGGCAGTAAGTAGTTCAAAATTAGGAAAGTACTGAAAGACCCAGGAAAAGAACTTATCTATCTCTACTTATTTTAATCCCACAGAGGTCAGTTATGTTGTTGATAATTTTACTTCTTCACTGTGTAGGACTCTGGATATTGTAGCTCCTCTGAAAAAGACTTCCTACTATAACTCTCAAATCAAATATGCACTTTAAAGCAGATAACTCCAAAGCTGGAGAGTAAATAGGATCTCAGTAATTTAGAAGATTGTCATTTAGTCTGGAGAAATACTGCTGCTTTGTAAAAAAAAAAAAAAAAAAAAAAAAAAAGCCCTCCATAAAGCTAGAAAACCTTACTGTTCATCACTGATTGAAGGACATAAGAAAAGCCCTAGGTTTCTCTTCATTAGTGTAGCCTGACTGACAAAAAGTCAGAGCGCTGTTAAGCTAACCATTCCTTTAACATTAACATTAACATTAACATTATTTGAAGAGTTTCAGTCAGGTTTCAGAGCTCATCACAGCACAGAAACAGCTTTAGTGAAGGTTACAAATGATCTTCTAATGGCCTCTGACAGTGGACTCATCTCTGTGCTTGTCCTGCTAGACCTC